TTTTGCTCCACAACAAGAACTAGCAGGGTAAGAGATACCTAAGAGTGCAATCGCGGCTCTTCTTCCTGTCTCTACCTAACAGCGGTTAATTTGCCTTCTGGCCCATTTGAGAAGAAGAAAATCATGCCAGGTACTGGAAACCCAGCCAAATGCCTGGACTGGTGATCATGGTTATTAGAAGAGACCCCCAGAGCACTGCTTTACTAAACCAGCGCACTTTCTAAGTGCATTCTAAATACTTCTTAAGTGCACAGATAAGTGGACCTCTCATCTCTCCTCAAAGAAACTTCTTGCAACAGAGGGAGACCATTACAGACTACCACAACCAATCAAATGCAGAGAACTACTCATCATAGGGTTTACAGCCCTGATCAGTACGTTTATAACACAACTCCTTCATCTAAGAATCAAGGAGTATGAGGAAGAGGAAGTAAAAAGATTGTAAGAGCCAGAACGCCAGAAAATGTGCTGTGACAGTAAGTCTTTAAGACAGGGATGCTTCACTCAGGATACCTCAACAATACAGCTACCTAAAAAAAGACCTGAACAAGTACAATACCATTAGACCTTCTAACATGGAAGGAGGAAATCCTATGTGGCCTCAGGTCTAGACAAAGAACTCCAAACAGCAGATGTCTATTGAGACAGAAGGAGAAAGAATCTTCTCTAGAAAAAAATAAGTCTTCCAATTGCTTATACAATACCAAGCAGTCAACCCTGAAATCATACACACACGTAACACTAAGTGGGCTTTAACTAATAGCAATTAAGTAAATAGAGGCCATGAATTATGAATTTGAGAGGGAGCCAAGGAGAGAACATAGGAAGGGCGGGAGGGAGGAAAGAGAAAAAGAAAATAATATAATTATTATTATAGAAAGAGAACACTAATATCAAAATAAAATAAAGTCAATGGAAATATGTCATCCACAATATTGCGAGTATGTATTAATAAAAGTATAGAAATTATAATAATACAATAAGATACAGTGTGTATGTGTGTCACCTATAAAATGTTTATAAATTGCAGTAAACATTAAAATGTTGCATTCTTTTAAGGGGCATCACTAACATTAAATCAGGAAAGCAGAAGCTATTCTATGTGTCTTGGCTATAACTGAGTAAGGAATAATGAACTTACATGATGAAAGATAAGACACTGAGATCATAGAAATGCTGTCACAGGTCAAGAGAGGCCACCAGCAGGATCAGGGTTATTGACCTGGAGATCTCCGGCTACAACACAAGAAGCAGATGCCTATCTATTAACTGTGTGCTAGGACCTGCTGCAGCTCTCCGGTGTTTTTGCAGGTTCTCTATCCAAGCCTGCAGTGGAGTTTTCCAGACTCTCTGGGAAGCTACTCTGAGTCTCCCATGTGTCCTCATTTCTGTCTGCAATCAGTCCTAGAGAATAGCTTCTTCTGCTTCTCTCTACTCTGCAAGTCTACAAATTCTTCATTAGGAAAGCCTAGCTGAGATCAATGGAGGAGAGAGATCTGAGGAACGGTTCCCACCCCAGCAGACTATACATAGCCTAAAGCACGTTGCAAATGCTTTCCGATCGTCTTCTTTTTCATCTCCATGACAACCCTATGATGTAGGCACTATTGTCATTCACATTTAGTTGATGGAGTGCTGCAATGCCAGATGATGAAGTTCCTTACCCAAACGTCTGCAGCCCGTAAATACAAGAATTCAGAAGAGGGATTTCAGAGTCTCAGTGCTGAATCAGGATGCTTTCCGTGCCATCTGTTGAATGCCGTTTGTATCAGCCAGTTATCATTATTAGTAATTGTGAATTAAATCAATTACGGACAAAATTTGCTAGCATGTGTTCTAGCCTGGGAGTGCAAGAATGGTCTCAGGTAAATTAGTACCAGCATGCTGTCAATCCCCAGGTCCTTAGACAAAAATATCCACCGACAATTGTTATGGGGACAGGATACTGTCATTTACTCCATTTTGCTATTTATTTATAAACACGTACAACCAAAACCTCCCAGGAACTTTCGTACCAGGAATCTTACATTAATGATAAAGATTACACATCATTTCCTGAAGGGGTTCTGCCCTCGAGTTGAGGCTGGCTTAATGTTCTCAATACTTTCCCCTTGTGCTGCAAGAACCCTGTGAACCATCCAGCAATCAGTTCCCAGGTCTAACGTGGCGTTCTACCCACACAGCGCTGTTCTCATCTCCAAACCGATTAGCTCCTCAGTTACGTTTGTGTCTCTACAACTTCACGGTTGAAAGAGGCTGGCGTTCTATTGTCAGCAACTCCTTTGAAAATCTTAAATGTTCCTGTCTAGAAAAGAAATTTCTGCAAGTTCCGGTTCTCAAGATCACTCAAGTGCAGAAGGTCTGGATGCATATACTAACGGATACACATGCTGAGAGGCCAGACAACATGTCTTGTGTTCAGAATGATCTGAGACTTTTGACCCAGCGAACATTCTGTACTGAAAACTGTAGTTGGCATTTTCTTCGAGCCGTCAAGTAGTTCCCAAATAAAGGCCCAGAGACCCATTATTAGCTATGAATAGCTTAGGTTAGACTTGTTCCATTAACTCTTTTAATTTAATTTAACTTGCTTTTATTCATCTCCCCTTTGTCTTGCATCTTTTTACCGTTCTTTCATTCTGTATGTCCTATTTTTCTACTACCTCTGTCTCTGTCTCTCTGGCCCCTAGCATCACCTTTGCTTTCTTCTCCCAGCCTGAATTCTCCCTCCTCCTTATTCTCCATGCTTATGCATCCTCCCTTGCTAGTGCCACTCAGCTTTTTATTGGACAAATCAGATGTCTTAGGCAGACAAGGTAAAACAGCAACACTCCTTTACAGAATTAACCAAATACAACACAACTTTGCATAGTTAAGTATTCCCCCGCAGACAGCATTAACTATTTTATCTGCTTATGACTGAAATTATTCTGTGCCTTTAGCCTTATAGACTTACTAGTGGATTAAAAATGTATTCCTGAAATTACTAGATTCATAATATTTTAAAAATAGAGGTGATCTGACTTAATCTGAAAAAAATTCATCTTCTGTAGTAAATAAGAAACACTTTAGTTTCTTTTCAAAGACAAAAATACAGAAATTTTCCATGTGATTTGAAAGATAAGATTTTAGAAACAAAACTCATCTGATAGCTCCCAGGGTCACAACAGAAGGTTACTGTGACCTGGACCATTTTATACGACCTAATTTTGCTTTATCTCAGTACGCAGAACATTTGTGACCTTGTTGGTCCTTTCATCCCCATTTCTCTTTATTGTCTAGCAATCTTTGTAATGAATGATGAGTTCTAATAGAATAGTGCAATCTCTTGTCTAGATACAAAATTTGAAATGCTTTGAATTGTGTTATATTGCATTGATGTGTAACTGATCACTGTACTGCTTTGTGAATGCCAGTGAAGAGATGGCCTCTCTTTAGCTATACTGCTGAGAAAGCCTCTCCAGTGATAGTAGTGCCTCTCTGTTTCCCTCTTTTTCTGCACACAGAAAGTATTGTATATATATAGTATTTCCTTGACAAATACTTTGCACCACAGTGTACTCATGAAACAACCTGTCTAGATCTTTTCTTCTCTGGCTTTAATTTCCAGATGCTCTGAATTTATCTGAATTGTGCCTCTAGCAGCAACATGTGATCTTTCATCTCCAAAACCTGTATTGTCTTTGCTAAGATATTCTATACACTTCTTGTCCCATCCCAATTCTTTCTCTTTGTAGCCTCAAAACTTGGCTCAGTAGCCCCAAAGATGGGATGAAATTCTTAGTCTCTGTCTTCCCAAAGTGACTTTGGTTAAAATTCTTTCCTTCATTTCACCATGACTTTTGTCTGCCTTGCGTGGGGGGTTCTGACAGGACTCTGAATAAAAAATAATTAGACTAAGATTACGTAGGGTAAGCCTCTCAAACTACATCACTGGGGACAGACTGATGGCAAGTAAGCCTGCTCAACATCTGAGGAAGAGCATTGGAGTAGAAGAAGTAGGCCAGCATTCTCAGTCACAAAAAAACAAGCAAGCAAGCAACAAACAAATGAAAACAAGAAAGCAAACCAAAACTGGAATGGGAAGTTGCTGCTAACTTTTTTCCTAAGTAATCCTAATATCTAACTTTCCAGCCTATTCGGTAGAACAATTACCACTTACAGAATAGAATTTTACAGAATAAGATAAAGCAGGCAAGATGAGATGTGACTGGCAGGAATCTAGGGGGGCAAACCAGTTAACAAATTCAATTATACGGCACAAAACACCATTCTCGTCCTCATGGTGAGCCAGTTGTTCATGTCTGGATGCCATAACTGACCACAAATTGGAGATTGTCCTTTGTTCTTCCTGACTGAATGACTAAAACACATAGACATGATCCCTGGGCCTATGTTGCCCAATTTAAAGTTAGAGCATGAAAGCAGCTAAAAATTAAAGAGTCTATTCTGTGGATAGAGATATAGTCATTGGGGGAGAAGGGAAGGGGAAGGGGAGAGTGTGAGAGAGAATTTTTGTAAAAATAAGTTATATATTGTTTGGTGATTATGTAAGGTCTATATGACTTGTGCCTGCTTAAATATTTTTTTAATTCTCCATGTTCTTTGGGAATTTCAAAGGGGAATAATATTAACACGTAGAAAAGATATATTGTCTGTTTTAGCTAGAGCTTAGTTCTTAATGGGATGCCTTGAAGGAGTAATCCCAGATTTAAAATTTAGAAACCATACTTTAATAAAAATAACTTAGATAAAATTTCTAGTATGATTTAGGCTACGTTTTGCTGTGTTTTGGTTGTGGAACACAGTTAGCTTGCTTCTCTGTACTTTATTGTGCTTAGAGAGAGGACAGTTACCACCTTGTATATGCCTAGAAGAATTATGAGAGAGTTTTAATTAGTTTCTTTGTGTGGACAGTTGGTATACTGTTGAACAATGATAAATGCTCAAGTAGTGTGTCTTCTTATTAGATGTAAATGTGTGTCTTGTTCTGTCTTTAGGAATTAATGACCAAGCTAATAACTGAGACACCAGACCAGCCAATCCCATTTCTCATTGACCATCTTCAGTCCAAGCAAGGAAACCGAGGACAGCTGCAAAGAACTTTGTCTGGGTCAGCAGCCCTCTGGGCAGAAAGTGAACCATCAGGTAATTGAGGAAAAACAAGGAACTAGGAACATGTATGATAATGTGAGATATATCAGATACCGTGGTTCTCAACCTCTGGTCGTGACTCTTTTAGGGACTCAATGACCCTTTCATAGGGGTTTCCTAAGACCATCAGAAAACACAGATAATTACATAACACTTCATAACAGTAGCAAAATTAGAGTTATGAAGCAACAATAAAAATGATTTTATGATTTGGAGTCATCACATTATGAGGATCTGTATTAAAGGTTGCAGCATTAGGAAAGTAGAGAACCACTGTTGGAATAGAAAATTTCCCTACTATTTTTAATTATAATATGATAAACCTAAAATTTTCAGGTATTCTGTTATTAAAGTTTTATACTAACTTTTCATGGAAAATATTTTTGAATTTGAATACATTATAATGTACTTTGCTTCAATAAATGAAAATGAGAGTATTTCTTTTTTTTTTTTTTGTAAGGTGTGCACTTTTATTAAACTGGTCTCAAGACAGGGTACAGGAAAGCCCTGGCTGCCTCAACACCTCAACCCACTCCCAGGGAGACCAAAGCCTCCATACATCAAGTTGGGGGGACAAAAAAAAAGGAGGGCCACATTGATTTGCATGAAGTATTTATTTCTGTGTGGATCCAAAGTAATTATTCTAAACTTATGTTTCCTTTTATAAACAACTTGATTGAAGGAATACAGCTAATCTGCTCAGGAAGGTAATGAGGCAGTGTCTACACGGTTGCTGTTGCTTATTCCTGTGACTAGTATTATCCTGAGTAGTAAATTTAACTTTAGAAATAGTTGAGTCCCGAGAAACTGAACTTTGGGGAACCAGCCTTCCAAGTTTCCTGTAGCTTCCTTTCTCCACTAAATGGGGGGGGGGGAACAACAGGACAGATGTGACTTCTATCTTCCTGCACACTGTTCTTCGGGTTTGCAGTTCGCTTTCAAATCGCACTCTCTCCAGGCCTTGAGCCAGTCTGTTTATGTCAACTTGACACAACCTACACACAAGCATTTTAGAGAAAGGAACCGCAGTAGAGAAAATGCCCCCGTTCTATTTTGCTGTGGGCAATTCTGTGGTGCATTTTCTTGATTGGCTGGTCCAGTTCACTGTGTACAGTGCTACCTACCCCAGGGCTGATGCTTTGGGGGTTCTGTCAGAAAACAGGCTGAGCAGCATTAAGATCAAGTCAATAAGCCTCATTCCTCCATGGTTTCTGCTGTAGATCCTATTTCAAGGCACTTGCCTTTAACTCCAGCCCTCAGGAACCGAGTGCTACTCGGAGTGTAAGATGAGATGGAGTCTTTGCATCCCAACTTCCTGCTGGTCATGCTGTTTAAGTGTTACAACAAAACCCAAACTAAGCATGTCTGTTGTGTGAGTCACCAACTCTTTGCCTGATTCCCATGGGGATTGGACTGTCTCTAGATGATTTCCGGGATGGTACCATGTTGCCTTTTCTTCTCTGCATACCCTGTGGAAACTCAGGGAAAGATTTTGGCCTTCTTTCCTGTGTTGTCATATCAATACCGTCTTGATGTTCTCACAAGTCTACATTAAAGAGGGCAGAGAGTGAATACCCTCTGAAGAAGGTGGACATTGTTGGTGATGATATCTTCATAAAAGCTATCTTCATTAGACAGAAAACTAGAACATGAATCTTACCATACAAAACAGAATTCTTGTATTTTCCCTATTTATTTGTTTGTTTGTTTGGTTTTGGGCTCATTTCCTTGAGTTCATAAGTCAGGTGGGTTAATTGGCAATGGTTTTGGTTCCTAGGTACTAAGATGGTACCCACCTTGTGACTAAAAGATCATAGAGGCATCTGTGAACATTTAGCATTTGATATTCATGTCCAGAAGCCTGCATTTGGCTTAGTCAGCTCTGCGCAGATTCACAAGATGAATCAAACTGTTGGCTGGGTTGCATCCTCATCTGGACACTGAGCTAGAGAAGAACATGTTTCCAAGCCCATTTGGCTTGTTGGAAAATTACCTCTCCACAGCATATGACTGTGCTCTTGATTTCATTTCTGGATTTAGCCCAGGTTTAGTCTTAGTTGCTAGATACAAGTAGAGTTCACTACCACAGGACTCTAACCTTATGACAGGTTATTTTCTCCAATTCAAGAAGTGTTCTCAAGCCAGGCGGTGGTGGCACACACCTTTAATCCCAGCACTCAGGAGGCAGAGGCAGGCGGATCTCTGGGAGTTTGAGGCCTGCCTGGCCTACAAGAGCTAGTTCCAGGACAGGCTCCAAAGCTACAGAGAAACCCTGTCTCGAAAAACCAAAAAAAAAAAAAAAAAAAAAAAAAAAAGAAGTGTTCTCAAATGGGGTTTCTATGATGTAATGACTACATTGCAATTGTGATATTATCATCTCAACACTTTTGCTATATTGCATTAGACAGAAGCAAATAAATGGTCTCATCTTCATTCAAGAATTGGCAATAATATAGGTCATGATTAATCATTAATATGTAATCATCCCAGATTTCTTAGAATTCTCCTTGACACAAGAATTTGTTGACTTTTCTCAGAGAGGGTTGAAGAAAGGAGTAGTTTTTTATAGCTACTAGCTTACTAGCTTATGTCAAGATGAAACATGAAACTAAATTTCCAATGAGAAGTAGAGGCTGAATTCCTTTTGGTGAATTTGAGTTTTGTGAAGCATCTCAGTAAGCAATACTAGCAGGCATTTGGATGTGATTCTGAATCTCTGAACTGAGTCAAGGCAGGAAACCCCAAAATAGGAGTTATCTAGTATTAGAGGAAAAAATATACAATCTACAGGAATGAAAGAATGGAGGAAAATGTGCTAAATTATTTGCTAAGTAAGGGATTTTCTGGAAGACGATTAGTATGGGATTATTTTGTGTGCTTTACATTGTGCTATTTATTGAGAGGTAAAATTGCTTGTTGAAGAAGTTGGAGATTAAATAGGAGAAGTAAGTGCCCGTGACCCTGATAAGCTACCAAAAGAGAAGAGAGACAAGTTATGAAAGGAAAAATTAAAGTTTGTTTATACAACTCTGGGGCAAAACTGAGTTGAAGACACTAATTAGTCATTATTAAAACCTGCGAGATATTCTCAAGCAGGGCCCCAAAATCTGAAGGACTCATTGGAAAGGGTGGTTATGCTACTATAGCCAGAATAGAAGGTGGGACACAAATTATGCAAGAGTTAGGGATATTGGTGAGTCAACTGTACAGGTGACTAAGCACAAAGCCTGGTATAAAAGTGTTATTGAGTTTGGAAAAAAGACTTGTTCAGAGAACCACAATCAGAGATCAAAAAACCTGTCAGAGATAGATATAGTAAAAAGAAGAGACACAGGATTTTTGCTGTGTTGAGAAACAGCGATGTTTTATACCACGCCATCGAAGGTGGAGTTGCTCTACAGAATGAGTAGACCCAGTGCAGAGCCCTAGTTTGGGGTGTCTAAGCATCAGAGAAGTGAAGCTCTGAAGAAGTGAAGCAAGAAAGTCTGAAGCTTGTGGCTTGCATAAGTTTAAGAGGTCACCAGTGTTTCACCCATGTAGTCAGAAGGACAGGACAGACTGTAGCCATGTCTGGAACACTGCCATGGGCGAAGTAGAGGCTAATAATAGGGCATGGTAAACAGGAAGATGAGAGGGGCTTCCCACAAAGAAGAAGGGTGCTTCACCTCCTCTGTGGAGGTCTCCCATTGCAGAAGCATCTGGAAACTAGGCATCTCGAGCCTTCACAGCCCCTGTGTTGTAGTGAAGAGGGTGAAACCCTCTATTCCAGGTAGTTACAAAGAAGCATTTTTATGTGAAAATGGTATATACATTAAGATATGAAGTGGGGATTTGAAAATGGAGCAGAGATTGCTTATGTGAAACAGGAGAAGTGAAAATATTTCAGAGGGAGGATTGGGAAGGAGAAGGAAGCAAGCAGTTCTTGGATGATTATTTAGTTGGTGGGCTGTGATTCTCTCTTGAACCATGGCTGTGATTTTGTGCTAAGTTGCTGCATCTTCTAGTCAGTTACAGACCGTCTTTAAAGCTCACGGACAGAGACAAAATCCTTTTCCATAATATCTGAAGTTGCCCCATTGTTCCATTTCAATAAATCTAGGAACTCAGGATACAACATGTTCTCACTTGTTCGTTGCTTAATAGTGTAGAGGAGAAACCTTATTTTAGTTTCATTTTTTCCAGTGAAAAGCATTCCCTTTTGTACAATAATCGCATGCACACACACACTTTTGATATTCAAAACTGTAGTGGAGATGTTTTTGGGAACTCTTAAGAGAAGTCATTTTGTGCAAACTGAGTCTCCACTAAGGGACACCTACCCTTCCCTTTCAGTTAACATTGCTTTTCTCATTTTGTGGCCTCTCTGCTCTGGATCTTTATTGAGTGAAGTGTGTTCTTTATGTCTCTGATTCAATTTTCAACGCCATCAGCGTTCTTTTTCCAGCACCGAATACAAATTTAATGCAGTATTGCATTTTAGTTTTCTGTCAGTACAGAAAACACAACACAACACAAAACAACCTTTAAATAAAATTCTAGGTGCAATAGTGTTTTAATCATAACTTGCTCAGCAACTCTTCCATGTGATATTGTTTTGTTTCATAGAGTTATTTTACTTCTATTGGGAAGTCAAAAAAGTCAGATTCTGACATTTAATAGCTGTAAGATTATAAATTTCCTTGGTGTCTTAAAATATTCTGTTGTTTCATTTAATATATTTCATTCATTCTTTCTGGAATGCTAGTTTTACTCGTGATTCAGACTTGTATGTGGAGTGTTTTATCTCGTTTCAGGTGTGAGAGCAGATAGTGTAGGCATAGTTTTCCTTGCTCTTTTGTCATATATCTCGAAGCTCTGGGATTCTTAAAAAAAATTCAAAGGACAAACCATGACTAGTGCTGAAATTTCTAGTGTCAATTAAATCCTGTGTCTGCAATGCTATTGAATGAATTTCTGCCCCTCATATTTACTCAATCAAATAGATAAAAAATAAATTATGACTAAGTTATTTCACTAGTATTCTGTCTAGACAGTTGTATAAAATAAACCATAAAATCCAATGTTTTACTGAACTTAGCTCCTCTCAGTAGAATATATATGATGCTCCATTTCATGACCAGGAGTTTTTCATCCTTATTATTATAATTTGTTTATATTTTGTTTTAACAGAACCCAAAGGAACAAGAAGGGACTTTAGAAGCTATGATAAACCTTGGCAGTTGAATGCAAAGAAGCCTAAAAAATCAAAAAGCGACCTTGCTGTGTCTAATATTTCTCCTCCATCACCAGACTCCAAATCATGTAAGTTTGTTACGTAGATGTTCCTAAATTTCCAAGTCTTCGTAGTTTGAGGAGTAAAGAAAAATTATCAACGGAATTCAAACTTTTCACTCGTTTTTGGCTCTTTGTTAATCCCAATGAATCCATGTTCATTCCGGCATCTACACTGAATTCATGCACTCAGATCTGCTTATTCATGTATACCCTCTCACATGGGTAACTGGCTGAGGTCTTTTCTGATATTCTGTTATTAGAAGACCGGGAACTGCATGGAACAGATCTCTTACCTCTTCTGGCCTTTTGCACAATAAACCTCCCTTGAATCTGCTCAAACCTTAAAAAAAAAAAAAAAAGAAAGAAAGAAAGAAAGAAAGAAAGAAAGAAAGAAAGAAAGAAAGAAAGAAAGAAATCAAATCTTTAGAGCAGGAGGGAAAAGGATTTGCATTCTTGAATAGTGAACCCAAATTAAAAACAACTGTCCATCTCACTTCCCTTAGGTCTTCCTCTTTGCTACTCATGATCACTTTCTATGGTCCTTCCTTGACCTACCATTCAGACATGCCTCAGTACCTACTGCCTTGGTCACCACTGGATTATCCCAATGCTCTCTCCTGACAACATGCATGGGAGCATGCTAAGCACCTCAGGCTTGTATCAAACCCCAGTTGACCTTGGAAGACAAGTGAGCTTGAATGTAGCTCTTACAAACTAGTTTGTTGTACTCACCAAGGTGTGAGTGTTTGGTTTTAATCACAAGAGAAAGGAATAAGTTAAAAATTGTTTTTTTTTTTTTTTTTTTTAGTTAAATGATTAGAAAAGCACTGTGTGCTTTTTGGAAATGGAATGTGAGTAACTTGTAAAGGAGACTTGAAATGAACTCTGTGTTTCACCTATACAAGACTACCCCTGAAAGCCTGAACAGAGCTGTAGCGAAGAATGCATGCAATACTAACTTTCAATGTCCAGCAGATTGTAATTTTAATGAAAGTGTCCAACTTTAATAGTTTTATATATAACTTAAATCACAACCATTCTTAATGTACACATTTAATATTTGCATGGCTTAACCATATGGCCAATAACACGGAGACAGGCACTTATCCAATCATGAAGTACAAAGCAGAAAATCACGATGGAAAAAAACTTGAGACATACAATGAATTGTGTCAGGCCTCCCTCTCCATCATGAATGAGCTCTGTCTCCTTGTATGTTATCTAAAGTTAAGACTATAGACTTGAGGATCACTCATCTCTGAGGGGACAATGCCTGAAGCCATACGCCAGCAGGCCCTGTGCTCTCAGCGAGACACTGCCTAGGGACAGCATGGCTGGTGGCAGGAATGGTGAACTTCTCATTTGGTACTTACATTGTCTAGTCACAGCAGAACATTAACAAGAAGCTTTAACGACAATGAAATAACAAGCCGTCTCCCCTGAATTATGTCAAGATACTGCATGTGATAACAAAATCATAACAAATATAAGTTCTATTTGGAAACACATTGCCAAAATGACTACATTTTTGAAGCAGTTGTTGAAGATGTGTATTTTGGTCTCTGAAAAATAGTACAAAGTAGATAAATAAACATTAGTAAATTTATCAGAATCAGTAATAAAATTATTTATCTTCCAAAAACTAGTGCAGAAAAGTACTATCAACTTTTGCTATATTAAAAGATAATATCAACAAATACAGGTAAATAATAAGGGACCAATGAAGTGAATAAGAAGATAAGAGTACTTGCCATCAGTACCTGATAATCTGGGTTTGAACCCCAGAGCCTGCATATTACAAAAGGAGAGCCAGGTCTTGCAAGGTGTCCTCCGTTCTCCACACTTATGTTATAGCATGAATGTGCACCCTTGTACAATAAATAGATTAATATAAAATCTATTTATATTATATACATATACTATAAATACAACAAAGGATAGATTATAGAAAGAGAAAGCAAAATATCAAGATGGGGCTCCAGTCCAAATGTCAAAAATTACACTAAATAAGTGAACTTAGCATTCTAAGTAAAAAGCCAATATTACCAGGCTAGATAAAAGGGGTAGAGATTAAAAGCAAACAAACCAAAAGAAGCATGTGGACAAAAGTTTTAAATAAAAAACATAAAGAAATTCTATGACTAAAGTCATAAAAGACAAATTATAATTTGAGATGAAGATCAGTACCAAAATAAGACATTATCCCATAACAATATCTCATATCATAATTACTGAACCAAGACAACACAATTCACTGGTGGAAATATAACTCATTAATAGAGTTTCTTGCTTGGCATGCACACAAGACCCTGGGTTTAATTCACAGTACCAGAAAAAGGGAGAGAGGGAGAGAAGAGAATAAGAGAGAAAGGGAAAGAGGGAGAGGAGAGGAGAGGAGAGGAGAGAGAGAGAGAGAGAGAGAGAGAGAGAGAGAGAGAGAGAGAGAGAGAGAGAGAATATATATCCTGGAACTACTACATATAGCCAGGAGCAATGTTCTCAGGCATAAAAATGCATATTGTTTATAGAGACAATTATGAGACATTTTTGACAGAAAAATCAAATCAATTGGGTAAATATTCCCTATCAATGATATATATTGGGAAAATATCAATATGTTAATTTGTACTGGAATTTAAACATAATTCCTATCTAAATCTCCAATAATAACCACTCTTGAAGTTGAAATAAGTATTTTAAAATATTGTAATGACCAAGATAGTCTGATGCTGGTGAAAGGATGCACGAAGAGGACAATACAACACAACAGAGATTGCTAGAGTGAGCTTCTACAAGGTTACAGAATAAACTAGAAGTTTCTCCAGCATTAAACATCACCCAGGAAAACCAAATGAAGCATGGCTGATCCTTACCTTGGTTATCTTCAAGGAAAAGGAAATCCTTTCCAGAAGTTCAGGTTTCTATGGCTATTCCTACCACATGACTATAAGTGACTACTACTAGGGTGTGAAATTTTAATGAAAGTGTAATGTTTTGAAGATACAACTCAACAGCATTTTCGTACAATCAGAGTGGGTATGCTGAATCATCTCTTTAACTGAAGTGTTCTCAACACTCCCAAAGTTAATACCATACCTACTAACTGGCCATTAGACATTCCAGGCTCCCACAATTCTGGCTACCTCTTGTCTGTCTCTGAATTTATCTGTTGGATTCAAATGAGTGGAATCCTACAAGTGTGACCTTTTGTGAGAGTTTATTTCATTCAGCAAAATCTTGTTCTCATCCACATTTCAGAATGTGCATTTTTATTCTGATAGTATTCCCTTCTGCGGGCATAGTACACTCGCCTACCCATTCCTTCCCTCATGAGGATTCTGCCTGTTTCTACCTTTAACTGTTGTGGGTTGTGTTGCTGTGATCATTCACACACACATTCTACTGAAATAGCATTCCCTGATATCTTGGTAAATACATTGTCATGGAATGGTAAGACAATATGCCATAGTTCTGTGTACAGTCTTCTGAGGAATACCTACAATTTCTATAGAAATTATTCCATTTATGTTACTATCAATGATGTATAAGCATTGTAATTCTCCCATATTCATTGGTGCTTGTAGTTTTTATTTAAAAACGCAGCCACTCAATAAATGTGAAATGCTACTTCATTCTTGTCATTTGCATTTCTCTGAAAGCCAGTGACGTTGAGCATCTTCTCAGTGACTTCTCAACCTTTTGGGTGTCTTCCTAGAAATGATTGTTGAGATCTTTTTGCCAAGTTTTAGGTGTTTCATTACTTCTTTTATGCTTGAGTTGCATGAGTTCTTTTATAATCTAGACACAAGTCATATCAAATATATGATGTGTGAATATTTTCGTCCATATTGCGTGTTTTTTTCCTTTCTTGACAGTGTTCACTAATGAACCAAACTTCTAACTTTTACAATCAATTTATTGATTTTTTTTCTTGTACTTTAAGTATGCTATCTAAAAATCTCTTGCCAATTCTGTTGATTAGAACTTGCTCTTCTACTAATTATAGTGTTGTCTATTATGTGCAACCAATGCTCGAGTGTCAGGTAGGATTGAAGCCCGATTTCATTCTTTCGCATGTGTATATTCACTTGCCTTGGCATCACTTTTTAAAAATATTCTTTCTTCATTGCATAATTTCAGTCTTTTGTTGAACACTAAGTAACCATAACTATGAGGGTGATTTCACAATTCTATTTCATTAAACTGTTTATTTGTGGGGTTGTGAGTATTGTGTTGTTTTACTTATTAGGACACATGAACCTTTGAGTTGTGTTTTTCTATCTTTTTAATTCTTTTTTGGAATTGTTTTTGGATGTTCTCTGTATTTCTATTTCTAAATAGCCTTTAAAAATCAGTTTTCCTTTCTATATAAGGCAAATGGGATTTTGATCACATCATTAAAGTAATAGATTACTTTGGGGGAGTACTGATTAAAAGCAGAAAGTTTCTAAGTTATCAACAGGTAACACTACTTCAGTTCTTTAGATTCTCTTTGATTATTTTTATTATGTTTTGTTATTGTTCATTTTAGAATAAATGCTAAATTTAGCACTCAATATTTTATTTTCCCAGAGGCTATCTCTCATGGAACTGTCTTTATTTTCCCTTCTGATTATTATTGCTAGTACTTAGAGACAGAATTGACATTTTTGGTGTTCATTTTATTTCTTTAAACTTTGCTGGAAGCATTTATTCATGTTACCCTTTTGCTTATGTGTGGATTCTTATGACTTTTTAAATAGACTGTGAGGTTTTACTTCTTTTTTTCCAGTTTGGATCCTTTTCCATTTCTCTTTAATAACTTAATTTCTATAGCTGAAAATTCCCATGCAAACTTGTCTAGAAGCAGCAAAAACTGCCCAGGAACCCTTGCCCTGTTATTGTCTAGAAGAAAAACTTTCAGCTTCATGTTATACACTGTAGTCATTTACTGTGAGATTTCCCTATTAGCCTTTTATCAGGTTAAGGATACTTTCTTTAGACCCAGTTTGTCAAATATTTAAAATCCTAAGAATGTATTCAAAATT